TGCTTGGTGAAATTAGTTCCTCCAAGCTCAAGCGTGAGTTAATCTAATCTCTGTAATGATTGATTTTTATGTGGTATTTTACAAAGTATCATGTTTCTGGAATTGCATCTGAGTGAGTATTCCGTTCGGAATTGATTAGATAGTGATGATGTTCATAGAATGCTTAGAAAAGCCTGACCTGGGTTTTGCTTACCATTGTACCTATTCAGTTTGGAAAGTCGAAGTATTTGGTTATATGTAATAAAGTTGGGACCTTTTGCAACTCTGCTAATCCAATCTCATCAAGTTCCACACCGAAAGTTTCAATTTTTGTCCACTCTTTTTTCTTCCCAATTCTTATGATTTGTGCTATGAACAACTATTTGCAGATCAAGTAAGGAACAAATAATGGATTCAGATGCATGGAAAATCATCCATATACCTGAAAAACCATCATTCCCACCTGAGCAGCAGCCCATTGGTAGGCTTTAATCTCAAGGACTTCTCGTTTTGGATTATGATAAATCAAAGTATGTTTTTTCAAACTTCTGCTTGTGTGTTGTTTGCTCACAGCCAAGGTGTATGCAAGTGTAATCAAACCCAAATTTACCAATACCATAGTGAGGTTTGTCATTTAGTTTCTAATTGGATTCATTGACTGCTCAGTTTATACCAACTCTGCACTAAAATGAGAGAGTTTGGCTTTGTTATAATAAGGCATTTATGTAAGATTGCTCCTCTAGAAGATTTCCGTCATATTAAAAGGGTGCGGAAGAAGATTCTTCCAGATAACGGTATCCTCATTGTTAGTTTTGTTGATACGCCGAGAGCATGAAATTATGAGGTCTTGATTGCAAGCTTATTGGACAGGTGAAACTCAGTTGACTGTCATCTTATGTCTAGCACCTGAGAACAACAATCATTTGAACGATATGCCATCTGATGTACAGAAACTCGTCGATCCCTATGAGTTGAGTCCTTTTGTTACAGAAGTGGGTTTCTTTTTCTTTCAAGTCAAAACAATTTTCTTCAAGGCTTTTGTACATTTAGAACCTGAGTTAAAGCTTTTTGCTCATTGATATATATCTTCAGTTGAGTCTCATCTCTGTATTATCTCTGTGGTAGGTAAGCAAATTTGCTGCGGTATCGAAAGAAGAGTGGGAAGAACAGTGTAAGATATGGCCAACTTCGTTTCATCCCCCAACTTAGTAAGCTCTATGTCTTTTGTTAGATTATGGTTTCTTGAATCAGTTTTGTAAACAAAGGAGTCTAAATTATCTTCTTTTTTTGTCTAATGTTTAGTCGTTCTACTTCTTGATTGCTTCTATTAGTTCTCTTCTCTGCATTGTGAAAGCAATAACTTGTCCTCGTTTATAAAGCTGATCACTGATTTTTTTCTTTTGCAATTGGCAATGACAGCAATATAGATGGCATTGGTGGATTCAGCGAGGAAGACACACAATCAATCTGCAAGTTCATGAGCCTTGCTATTGACTTGGCAGTATCTGGTCAGAAATCGGTAAGTATTTTGCTCCTTCCCGAAACCTATACAACTTTGACTTTAGGTTAGAGACAACGGACTAGGCTCTATGCACACAAGCTCCCCTATTCATCTGTTTTCACATACCATTTTCTCTTTTCATCGCCATGATGTTCTTTCTTTTGGTAACAAGCTTTTGGCGAGACTAATGCCGGGTTCATTACATAGAAAGAGATCTTCACCATATTTTCATAATTTACTGACCTTTTGGTTGACTTTTCAGCTTGTAAATGCTGCAGTGATAGTTGATCCTTCAGTTAAGCGGATAATAGCTAGTGAAACTGATCAAGTATATCCATCATCTGCTCCATGCGACATGACCATCCCCTTCGATGAAACAGGGGAATCTAACCACTGTCAGAGTTTAGACAGAGTAACTAACGCTAGCTCGGAGATATGCTTAAACAGCATACTTGAAAAACTGAATGGTTCATTGTCTGCTGTTGCTTGTCTGAATCCTTGGCAATGGAGTTTGCAGCCACATGACACTGAAAAGTGTAGCCAATGGCACCCTCTAAGGCATGCTTCCATAGTTGCCATTGAATCTTCTTCTATGAGAGATAGATATATGTTTCCCAATTCATCTGAGAATGCTGGTCCGGATCATTCTCAGCCGTCAAATGCTGATTCCTCAGCTAAAAGGCAGAAAACAAGCAGTCACAGTCCAGACGTAAGTTCATTCCAACCAAGATTTTTAAATGTTCTCCAAGTGCGTTGACTAGTAAAGCATATTCTCACTCTTGAGTCGCTAATAGGTTCAAAATGAGAGCGGAGAAGAAACTTGCAGAGGTCCTTCAATGGAAAGGCCCTACCTTTGCACTGGTTATGACATTTTCTTGCTTTGGGAGCCTTGTACAATGTGAGTTCCTACATATACATTACCCTTCTAACATCAGCAAGTTTGGGAATCTGATAAAGTTGTGATTATGTTCTTGTGTATACAAGGTGTGCTATGGCTCTTGTGCATCAAAGAATAAAACGAATTTTCTATGCTTTTCCAAACCCTACGGCAGGCGGTCTCGGGAGTGTTCATAGACTTCAAGGAGAAAAGAGTTTAAACCACCATTATGCAGTGTTCAGAGTTTTGCTACCTGGAGCTGCTGATAATGCACTCGACCATGGTTTAAAACATGTTGCAGCCGAGTCATAATTTTGTTACTTGTTCTGATTTAGGAAGCTGAATCTTTGTTCTTGTTCTTTCCAAGAATCTGAATTCTTATATAGACCAAGAATTCACTTGTTTTACTGTGTATCAAACGCTCAGTACTGTGTACTTGCCAGAAACTATGGTTCAGTGAAACAATATAAAACATGAAAGATCTTTTACCAGAGACCTCTGAGTTGGTACTACAATCTTTACGAATGCTTGAGTTTGGTGAATCGTGTTACAACTCCTAAGCTGATCTCAAAATTTCTACAATCGTGTCTTAACACGGAGCCTCAAGCACAAAGGTGATTCCAATATCAGTTCACTGTTGCTCGAACAAGAAAATTTTATGTACGTATTGAAAAGCCTTCTTCAAGACACTCAGTTCTAAGATCTTCCATGAGACCCTGAAACATAGTTGGATTGCTCGTAACAACTGCATCCACACCTAAGTGAAGCATCCTTTTCATTGGATCAGCATCATCCACAGTCCATGCATAAACCTCTTTGTTTCTCCTGTTTATCGTATCGAGCAAAGTTGTAAACATATTGAAAATGATGGGTGGGTGTGTTTTCAGTTGAAAACATTAGAATCTATTTGCTTACCGACGCAAAACTCTAACCAGTTTCTCATCGATCAAGGGATGATAGACTCCCACAACCCCAGCTCTCTTCATTCGCAGCAGGTTGTTTCTCGCCCCAGTCGAATGATCCACCATCACAATGTATCCCACCTGCCATAACAATCACAGAGACTGAGCAAGAAACTGGACTCAACTTCTCTATCCTATCCTCACATGAAATAATCCATTTCCACTTACGGTAATATCCGGTGCTCGTTTGATTATGTCCCTAGCCAAACTGTCGCTTTTGGCCCATACGATGCAATTCGTGCACTGCGTTCTCTTAATCTAACAACATAGGATTGACGATTCAGGTAGGCAAAGCAAGAGATACCACCATTAAAGTAAAGGCAAAGCATCAACAATTATCCATACTCTGTTTTTCCAATTATTCATATAAGCAGTTCTAGCTCTATGGGCAAAGATACATGGAGAGAGATGGTTAAACAAGCTCTTAAGGAACCAAAACCTCTTAAAGATTAAGATCTTGATAAGGACCAAACTAGTTCTAGTTCACTAAAGCTCCATAGGTATACACAGCTAATAAATGATAACTGAGTACTTACAACAGAAAGTATGTCTTGTGCGAGCCCCTTTTCATACATCGGCGRTCCAACTTTCGCATCAAGAACCACTCGGCGGACTGAACTTGATATCGACTAGACGATTAAAGATGAAGGTTAGGTTCAGCCACTTCTTACTGAGCAACATTGACAAAGAATAGCACGAGTAGATAGTGATAACAAGAGTTGCAAAGTCGAGGCATTACCGCTAAAGCATCTTCAAGAGTAGGAACCCTACGATTTCCCAAAGTCCCTCTAACAATTTGTGAGACATCGAGTTCCTTGATCTGCACAAAAAGATCATCCAAGGTTTAAGAAACGAGGTGCAAAAGCATATCCCCAAATAAGATGGTAAAGAGAGACAATACCTGTTTCATACTCAAATCTCCAACTTGAACAGAAGAGTTACTAGCAATACGCTGCAGATCCCTGACTGTGCGTGTGATCAGTCGATGAATAACAACATCTCCGATGAGAATCAAATCACAGAAGAAGAAAAAAAACACGATCACAAAAGAAGAAAAGGAAAAGAGAGACTGTAACCTGTTGTGGAGAGAGAATAAAACACCATCGGAGGAACGAGAAACATCGACTTCAATGCAATCAACTCGAGAACGAATAGCGTAACTGTAAGCATCCATCTAC